AATCATAACGAACATCAGTCTCAGTCAATAATGAGAGTTATAATGATCACAGATGATTATGAATATGAAACTCACCTCCTCTAGCAGCTCCAAACGTGTAGAAGAGGAGGATGAATTGTAAAGTAGGCAGAATTTGAAAGGTCATATCAGCCACAACATCAAATATTTTTACTATCCGGCCACTTTTCTTCCCAACCTCTGTAACTAAAACTAGAAGAAACAGTTTTGATCATTAAGATCTGATTTGATTATGTGATAGAAGTTGTGAGCCATTATAATGGCAGAATTTAAAACAACAACAAACAATAAAATCAACAACAGAAGCAGATGAACTGAACGGAATTAATTAACACGACTGTGTTTCTAATTAAAAAACTGCATTATGATATTTCAGTAAAAGACCACTATGTACTATTTCTATTAATACTCTAAACTATCAGATCTGAACATTAAAATCTGTTCGTATTGCATTATCGAAATCTAGTGTGTATTGCATATAGATTATTACATTACAGTTTTTCTCAGTTGCTTTGACACTTTTCTTCAAAGTAATGTAATTGGTCTCAAAACTATTAACAGAGCTATCTAAACACACTCTTCACACACACGCCAGCAAAAAGAAGCGCTGCATTGTTTCTATTAATGTACTTATTATAAGTAAATACTGACATCAACATTACAGATGTCTTCTCTATTGAATTAAACACAAATGTTCAGCTATAGATGCACAAATACATTAACGAAAACACCTTTTTTTGTCAAATTCTTCAGGAGGGAGTTTTATATACTGTTTGCTGGAATTTTGTCATACTTTTAAACTTTGCCAAACTGCTTTAGTTCAGCCAAATACACGTTGACAGCTCTGTATATATACAGTATACAGTGATCCACTGCTCTTCTTCCATTCAAAATGAGCTTGAATGTTCTCAAACTTCAATTCTGAAAAATGCTTGGACATCTAAAGCACTGAAGTTGTCCCAGGAGGACTACAAACGTGCACTATCAACAGTACAATAATTATGAATATAGAAGTGGATTGAGTTAGTAACTCTTCAGATCTGCCCACTCCACCACCTTTCACACTTACACCTTTCTTTTCACATATGCTTGCATACTCTTATTCTTTTCATGCTCTTTGTATACTTTCCCTTTTTATAGTTAAAGCAGTCGTGTTAAACGTGTGAACAATTAGGAAAACAGCACTTCCTGATATTTTAAAGATTTAATTGCCTGTATTAACTGTTATGAGAACATCAGAGCATTTTGTGCAGTGTTTTGAGAAATGATTGAAAACGTACAGTCTGTTTAGGATGATTACAAGTGTCTGGAGAAATGTGTCAAATAGACTGTAAAGTGATGAAGGAGGTTCAGTTTAATCTCATTCACTCAGTGTGTCTCTGGTACCTGATGACTGACAGGAAGGAATCACACAGAAATACTTACTGTAAATGATTTTGCAGAGGCAGCACACAAACACTATTGCAAACAGCACTATTATGACAACTTTATTAAATACAGCATAATTTAGAAACCTTCCCCAAGCACTTGCGAAAAGAGCTGGAAGAAAAGAAGAGATAAAAAATTATCACACAGAAACACAATCAAACTGTAAATACTGTACATGACAGAAGAATACAACACACTCTTATCATTTAACTGTTTTTATGTAAATCATCTTGCTTTACTATGATTTGCACCGACAGTCTTTCTGTTATAATCTGAGCTTCAGTGTTTCTAATACTGACAATTACACAATCATATGGAGTAAATATGATGTTACTCTCGAGTGTGTTTGAGAGATTGTGGTGTGTGAATGTATCTCCTCGTGTCTGGATGAATGCTCTGCTGAGTCTAAAGTGCTTTAATGCTTTAATACACAGTACATGTGTGTGTCTACATGCATCTAGAGACGGGTCGTAACTCAACCAGAAACCAGATGTGCTGTCATTATCATCAATCAAGCTGCAGCTTACAAACAGATTCATGCTGAGGAATCATTTGTCTATAATTTCAGTTTTAAACTCAGGTGAGTTAAAGTGAACGTAGCACCATATATCCGTGTAACATTTAATGCAGATTGTGTTCATAATCCGCTGTAGATCAGGGTGTATTAATAAGATCATGCCGTGTGATTCAGTCCTGTAACACATGTAGGATCTGTCATAATAACACTCATCCTGTCATCTATCATGCTTCATGTTTCTGCATGTGTTATGATTTATGTCATACTGTTGTTTTAGATTTGCACCATTTTTCTCAACTTTTAATGTGCATTTTAATGTTTTTTTCTGATAATTAAAGTTGATTGACATTTGTATTTGTTTACCTGAATAAACAACAAGTGAGAGAACAGCATGTTCTGCAACATAACTGTATTTCACAATCCATGTTTCAATATTTTCTGTAACACAGAAAAGACAATAATTACAATCACAATATCATAAACAACCAACACAAGAAACACAAATGAAACACTGAACACTATTTCCTGTTTAGTTAAATCTTTCACACACAGATTATATAAAGTCCAAACATCTGGGTATTATGATTAATTCTCTCATCTCCACTGATAAACTCATCAACTGAATCATACCTGCAAACCTATTTTTAATATACGGAGCCGCCCAGAGCAACAGGAGAGGCCTCCGAAAATAAAGAGCACAACAACAAACCGACTCATTCACAGATCCTGTAACAAACCCAGATATTAATCATGAGAAGTCATTGATATTCACTGACACATTGATATACATAAGTTTGTGAACCCTTTGAAATTTCTGCATTGGTTAATTGGTCTGATCGCAGTTTAACAAACACCATAGGGCTGGACGATATGCCCAACATTGATATCACGATATATTTCTTAATTTCGGTCGATACGATATAATTTCTGGGATATTAATGATTTTTAATCTTCATTTTCATCTTATTTTCCGTCTCTGGGATATTAATGATTTTTAATCTTCATTTTCATCTTATTTTCCGTCTCTGGGATATTAATGATTTTTAATCTTCATTTTCATCTTATTTTCTGTCTCTGGGATATTAATGATTTTTAATCTTCATTTTCATCTTATTTTCTGTCTCTGGGATATTAATGATTTTTAATCTTCATTTTCATCTTATTTTCTGTCTCTGGGATATTAATGATTTTTAATCTTCATTTTCATCTTATTTTCTGTCTCTGGGATATTAATGATTTTTAATCTTCATTTTCATCTTATTTTCTGTCTCTGGGATATTAATGATTTTTAATCTTCATTTTCATCTTATTTTCTGTCTCTGGGATATTAATGATTTTTAATCTTCATTTTCATCTTATTTTCTGTCTCTGGGATATTAATGATTTTTAATCTTCAGTTTCATCTTATTTTCTGTCTAGAGACACTGATGATTAATATCACAGAGACACTGATGCAGTTCAACAGAGATCAGATCACGATTCAGCAGATACTTACAGTTGAGCCCCTGACTGGAATAGCATTTATAAATCCATCTGTCATTTGTCATCATCATCAGTAACACTGGTAAAATGACAATCATGATCAATCCTAAACACAGGAGAGGAATTATATTAATGCTGGATATTATAATTCATCAGCAGGTTCACAGCAGATTACAGTAAATCATAACGAACATCAGTCTCAGTCAATAATGAGAGTTATAATGTGACACTAGAGAAGATTTAAAATGTTCAAATGTCAATAAAATGAACACAAATGAACCAAAAGCATTATGAATATGAACTCACCTGCTTCACTAGCAGCTCCAAACGTGTAGAAGAGGAGGATGAATTGTAAAGTAGGCAGAATTTGAAAGGTCATATCAGCCACAACATCAAATATTTTTACTATCCGGCCACTTTTCTTCCCAACCTCTGTAACTAAAACTAGAAGAAACAGTTTTGATCATTAAGATCTGATTCGATTCAGTTTTAAATCATTATAATGGCAGTTTTTTCATGATACAATTTACAGTAACAAACAATAAAATCAACAACAGAAGCAGATGAACTGAATGAATCAATGTGACTGTGACAGTTTTTATACAAATATATATATTATCTTTATATTATAAACATATCAATAAATATAATGAAGTTATTCAGTAACCTTCAAAAAGGTTCTTCATTTTTCTAGTAAAAGCTATACTGTATAATATTTAATAAAAACATCAACATGTACTATTTCTACTAATACTCTGAAGTGCAATATCAGATCTGAAGAATAAAGTATGTTTGTGTTTTAATGTCTAGAGTTAGCTAATATTAGACTAAAGTGATGAAGGGCGTTCAGATCAGTGTGAATCAGACTCAGTTTCAGTGATTCTCTGAGCACTTACGGCAAGGAATCACACAGAAATACTTACTGTAAATGATTTTGCAGAGGCAGCACACAAACACTATTGCAAACAGCACTATTATGACGACTTTATTAAATACAGCATAGTTTAGAAACCTTTCCCAAGCACTTGCGAAAAGAGCTGGAAGAAAAGAAGAGATAAAAATGATCACATATAAGCTCAATCAAACTGTAAATACTGTACATGACAGAAGAATACTCTTCACTTGACTGATGCTTTTATGTAAATCATCTTGCTTTGCTGTGATTTACTCTGACAGTCTTTCTGTTATGATCTGAGCTTCAGTCTGTTTCTAATACTGACAATTACACAATCATATGGAGTCATGTCATTTAATTTAATGCAGATGTCATTCATAACGAGCTGTAGATCAGAGTGTATTTAATAAGATCATAAAAGTGTTTCAGTCCTATAAACTTACAGAGATTCACTGAACACACGTACTAACACAAATCATGCTTCGTTTACCTGAATAAACAACAACCGAGAAAACAGCATATTCTGCCACATAACTGTATTTCTGAATCCATGTTTTAATCTTGTCTGTAAAACAGAAAAGACAATATTTACAGTCACAATGTCATATAAACACCAACACGATCAAACACAGATGACACTATTTAATGTTTGGTTAAATCCCTCACACAAAGATTATATCAAATCCAAACATCTAGGTATCATGATTCATTTTCTCACTTCCACTAATAAACCGATCAAATGAATCATACCTGAAAACCTGTTTTTAATAAATGGAGCCGCCCAGAGCAACAGGAGAGGCCTCAGAAAATAAAGAGCACAGCAACAAACCGACTCACTCACAGATCCTGAAACAAACCCAGATATTAATCACGAGAAGTCATTGATATACACTGATATTCATATACAAGTTTATGAACACTTTAACATTTCTGCACTGATTAAATGTGGTCTGATCGCATTTGAACAAACACAATCTGATTAAACTAATACAAACAATTGAGTACTTTTCACATTTTATTGAATACATTGAGTAATCATTCACAGTTCAGGCTGGAGAAAGTAAGTGACCCCTTGAGTTTAGTGACTTGTAGATCCTCTTTAGTAGCAAAACCTCCACCAAACGTTTGCTGTAGCTGCTTATAAAACCCACTTTGGACCATCCCTCTCAATAAATCTGTTTCAGTTGATCAATATTTCTGGGTTGTCTTGACAGTGCAGCCCTCTTTAGGTTATGCCACAGTAACCCTTGTGCACTGTTTGTTTGGGTGATTATCGGGTGAAAATTACAAAATGCAATTTTGTAACAAAATATTGATTTTTTTTAACAAATGTAATTTTACTCAGTTTATTAATGTTTTTACTCCACATTTGTGCAATTTTAAGAGGGTTTATGATATTTTTATTTTATTTTATAAATAAATAAAAAACAATTTTTTAAATAGTTTTTTTATACAATTTGTTTTTTATTTCTCTTTATAAAAGACCCACATTCCTAATTTTAATTCATGGGGATAACATGGCCAATGTACCATAGTTTAATGCCAAATTGTTTCCATCTATTTGAAAATAAACACTTTTAAAGTCCCCATGAAATCAAAATGAAAGTTTTTTGGGTGTTAGTA